CAGTGAGGAGTCTACTGACCAGACACACAGATTACTTGATAACTTCTTTTCAGAAACAGTAACATGTTTGACAAAAGTGGCTGCATATGTAATGTATACACTTGACTGCAAATGTAGCTCAGAAGAAATTAAGCAGCTTACCTCTGTTCTGCTGGTCAAGCAGAATTATGGTTGGTAGGAAAAAAAAAAAAAAAGTATTTCAGTAACAACTTGGACTGTGAAACATTGTAGTACCTCCTTTCAAAAGCTAAAAAATCAGACACACTGGGCTCGAAATGACTTGTAGAGTTTGGGCGTGTCCTAGTTGAAGTTTAAACCTCACTTCAAACGAGAAAGATGTCTGCAAGTGCTAGACATAAATTTACTCTTGAAACTTCATGAGTTAGGCTGATATGTTGGTATAGTGTTCTTCCATGCACTGGTGTGGTGATGTTGTCTGGCTTTGCTTCAGCAACTAGAATTTTGCATATTGTATTTGTTGGTTATTTGCATGATAATGTAATGGACTTACGGTGCTCTCTCTCACGTTCTCTCCAGATGCCATGAAGTACACAATTGTGGTGTCTGCAACAGCATCTGATGCTGCACCCCTTCAGTATCTGGCTCCTTACTCAGGCTGCTCCATGGGGGAATACTTCAGAGACAATGGGAAACATGCATTGATCATCTATGATGACTTGTCCAAACAGGTTCGGAATCATAGTTTACAGACCTCATAGTCCAGCATTGGTGCTTAGAGCAGTGTGATCTTCCCAGTCTTGTAAATTCAAAATTCTAAGTGAGCTACTGAAATCTGAGAGATTTCTTTGTATTCCTGTGCAGGCTGTTGCCTACCGTCAGATGTCTCTGCTGCTGCGTCGTCCGCCTGGCCGTGAAGCCTACCCAGGTGATGTGTTCTACCTGCACTCTCGCCTGCTGGAGAGAGCAGCCAAAATGAATGATTCCTTTGGAGGTGGCTCTCTGACTGCTTTGCCTGTCATTGAAACTCAGGCTGGTGATGTGTCTGCTTACATTCCAACCAATGTCATCTCCATCACTGATGGACAGGTAGGACTTGCTCTTTATATACCAGTACTTCTGTGTAGTTCACTCTAAGAGATGCTTGTAGTTTTCTGAAGAAACTAGTAAGGCAACTTTCTCCTGCAGATCTTCTTGGAAACTGAGCTGTTCTACAAAGGTATCCGTCCAGCCATCAACGTTGGTCTGTCTGTGTCCCGCGTAGGTTCTGCTGCTCAGACCAGGGCAATGAAACAGGTAAACATAAAACTGCTGCTTTTTACCGCATCAGAGATGAGTAAAATGGAGGATGTGCAACCCGTTTCATTCTTTCATAGAAAGTTACAAATACAAAGGGAATTAAGCTTAGGATTCCTTGACATTATGAAATAAGTACAAACTTACAGGATCTCCTTGATATTTCCATTGCTGCAGATAGGAAGCAGGAGGTGGAGAGTGAGGGGGAAGACTATTTGCAGAGGTATTTGATAAGTTTCATTGTGCTGAAATGGATGCTGAGCTAGCTAGGTACAGAAAATACTCCTAATCCCACTTTTTCATCCCGGTATAAATTAGAAAGGCCACATCTGGAATACTGAGTTCAGTTCTGGGCTCCCCAGATTTAAAAAAAAAAAAAAAAGGTAGGGATCTCCTAGAATGAGTCCAGGAGAGGGTGACAGAGATGATTAAGGGCCTGAAGCATCTCCTGTGTGAGGAAAGGCTGAAGGATGTGTTCAGCTGTTCAACCTGGAGAAGAGAAGACTGAGAGGAGGTCTTACCAATGTTTGCAAATATCTAGCCTGTGGGAGTCAAGTCAGTGGGTGTGGACTCTTTGGTGAGCAGCAACAGAACAAGGGGCAGTGGACAGAAACTGGAACTTAGGAAGTTCCATACTAGTGCACAGGAGAACATCTGCACTGTCAGAGTGACAGAGCACTGTCACAGGCTGCCCAGAGTGCTGGTGGAGTCTGCTTCTCTGGAAGTATTCCAGACCCAGCTGTAGCCTTCCTGTGTGACTTGCTGCAGGGAACCTCTTTTAGGAAGGGGGTTGGACTCAATGATTTCTGGAGGTTCCTTTCAACTCCTACAGTTCTATCTATGAAAGGTACAAAATCAGTTACGAATCTTTCAGGGAGGCATAAAATGTTAAAAGGACAAACAGCTGTCTTCTGAAGGTAATCTACTGACTACTAGGTTCAGTGGGTGGAACTCATTGTGACCTGTGTTTTGTAGGTGGCTGGTACCATGAAGCTGGAGCTGGCTCAGTACCGTGAAGTGGCTGCCTTTGCTCAGTTTGGGTCTGATTTGGATGCTGCCACACAACAGCTGCTGAATCGTGGTGTGCGTCTGACAGAGCTCCTGAAACAAGGACAGTATGGTCAGTGTCCAGGATGTGATGTGTCTGGATTTCCCATTCATAGTTGGCCTCTGGCAGCAGTAAGATGTTCTTTGGACATCATAAATGAAAGCTTGAGCTGTGTTGCCTGCATGCAATTGATTTCAGAGAAAGCTGCTGCGTAACACTGATGTATTGCGGTAGAAAAATTGCTGATGGTGTGAATGTTTTCTTTCATGTAGTTCCCATGGCTATTGAGGAACAGGTTGCAGTCATCTATGCTGGTGTAAGAGGTCACTTGGACAAGCTGGAGCCAAGCAAAATCACTAAATTTGAGAGTGCTTTTCTGGCTCATGTACTGAGCCAGCACCAGGCCCTCCTCTCCACCATCAGGTATGATTTTTTTATCTTTCTTCATCACAAGATCACGGATAGCAATCACCTTACCGTTAAGGTAATCTATCCTAGAGCATCAGGCCTTCTGTATTACCGCTGACTGGAGATTAAATCAGATTGTCTTCTGTCCTTTTGCTGTTACCCAGAGCTGAGCATTTTACAGTTAAGTTTAGAAACCCTGCTGGTGCTTAAAGCAAACCTACTTCTGTGCCTGTCCTGTAAGCTGATACTGAAATCGCTTTGTGCAGTCAGTTACCATGTTTTGATAGCTTTAGTGCTGTAGATTAAGTGCTGCCTAGTGCCTTGCTACTGAGCTGACTGCGGATTTCAGTATTAACATTGTCCTGCTCTCTGAGCTGGTTCTAGCTTGCTTTATCCTAAGTTGTCTCAAGTGCATTCTCTCTGGGGCATAGCTATACAGAAGATAGCTGTACTACCTAGCTCAGCGAGGCTCTGCTTTGAGAGTATTTGTTGACAAAATTTAGTCCTTAAACAGAGCAAACTCTTTTGGAAAAGGGATGGTGGTAGATTTTTTTTTTCTTCTCCTAAGCAATTGACAGTGCATTTATTCCCATGTCAGACGTTTAATTAAACTCTTTTTTTGACAGGACTGAAGGGAAGATATCTGACCAGACGGAAGCTAAGCTGAAGGAAATAGTCACAAATTTCCTGTCTACTTTCGAGGCATAAACTCATTATCTGTTCAAACAGACCAGGCTGTTTTTGTTGTTATGTGCTTTGGCTCCATCAAAGACCTAAACGTATGTGCGACTTGAATGTACAGATCTCACTGAAATAAAAGTTTCCATGTAAAAAGGTTTGGATATGCTGTTCTCAATTACTGCTTTTCTGGCTGGCTACTTGAACAGTGCACTAGAGGAAAGTTAAATTTCTCTGGATGCACTCTTGCTTGAAGAATCCTGAAAAATCAGGGGACATCTAGTTGTTGAGTGGATGAAACTCCTTATATGAAAGCTGCCAGTAAGATTATGTGGCTGACTGCAGTTTCCACTGTGACAAATGTGGTTTGCTTGTGCAGCTTTTCTCTTTTTCACCAGGTAACTTTCAGAAGATGGCATGCAGCTGTGAAGCTGTTCATGCTCTTTTGGAATGTGTAGTAGCTATCTCATAGTGTTGTCCTCTAGCAGTCTAACACTGTGGTAGAGTACAGTATGTTTTAGAACTGCAAAGTCATGTTCCTGGTGGCTGGCTTTCAAATGTGTTCTTTCAAAATTATTTTCCTTGTATCTAAGGACGCAACTGCACATTTAGAGATTTAAATGTGGTCTTCTGGTTCACTCCAGTTCTGCCAAAATAAGCTTTTCAGTTGTGATATGGGGGAGGTTCTATTGCCAAACATCTATTCCATCCCTGACTTCCTGGAGACATGAGGTGTGAGATCCCAGCGTTGCCAGCGTTGCAGTGTGTAGCTGGGATGGGAGAAGCTTCCTTCCAGCTCTGGCAGTGAGTGGAAGGGCCAAGCAGAGCAATGGGCCGCTGGGTGGTGCTGTGAGGCAGAGAAATTGCATGGGTTGTGATGGAGATTCCTGGCAAGGACTGCGGGCTTTGGGCCCTCTTCTGGTTGAAATATTCATTCCACTATTTCCAGCGACGCATCGCTGTCAGCACTGCGGTAATGCTGATCCCATGTGCAGGCGGTGCCCAGCAGTGCCGTAGCTGTGATGTGTGGCTGCTGCTGTGCTGATGGTGACGACTGTCTGCTGCCCCGGGTGCTTTGACCACTGCTACTCTGTCCTGCAGTCTTTCTGTCTTAGCCTCAGTTGGGTGTACCTGCCTGTCTCGAAGTGTACTCTTCCAGTACTATCAAATCAGTTGGGAAGTGTGTACGTGGAAGGAAAGAGAAAATTTGTTCTAGGACACAGCTTTTAGTGTGCTTGCAAGAAACCAGATTGCACCACAGCTGATATGTTGTCAGATTGCTAAAACCTTCAGAGCCTCGACCTGAAGTGTGGACCTTATACTTCTGAAACAAGTGTGACATTGCTACTGGGGCAGAAACTGGAGGCATGGGCACTGAAAGAAAAAGTTTTGCTATAAATCTCAGCTTCACTGCGTTCGCACAACAGGGCCCTTGGGTCACAAGTCAGCAGATTTAAGTAAGTGGAAAATGCTTTTTTTTTTTCTTGCTTTTTTTTTTTTTTCTCTCTTTTTTTTTTTTAACCTCACAGGGCTATCTTGGTTGTCCCTTTGTCAGAGCAGAGGCAGCACGTTACCGCTGTGGGTTCTGAATCAGGCTTTCCTGTGCCTGCGGACGCAGCGGGGTGGGAGGGCGTGGGGTGGGGCAGTGCTGGGAGCAGCGGCGGTGCTGGCAGCAGGAGCAGCATGAGGGAGGTTTGGTTCCGGGACCACTTCTGGGTGAGTTGGGGTCTGGGGGAACAGGAGAGCGACCCAGGGCACTTAGCAGGACACCTGATGCCTTGGGGGGCTCATCCTGTCTTCACACTGGCTCAAGCCTCTGGAGGAAGCTGAGCTATTGATGGCAGCAGACCCAAAGCCCGCTGCGTGGTTGAGGGGTTGTGGACATCCTCTGGCTGGTGCTGCTTATCCACTTGCATCTGAAAGCCACTTAGGCTTTGCAACCTGCCCTGTGCAGATGAATTAACAACCCGTGAGCTGATTCTGCAGGGCTGGAGGAAGTTGGTGCTGGACCAAAGGTTTGATATTAATAACTGACTGCTTGTGAACTATTTGAGAACGCTGCTGTCAAAAAGTGTCCTTTGGTGAGTTGCTTCTTGTCTGGGAGCTGATCTTTTGGCTGGCTGCTGATGAGCTGCAGAGGAAAAGTCGTAGCTCGGGGGAAGCTGCAATTTATTCTTTTGAGTCTGAACTATGCTTTTGGGCACGCAGAAGTGCCAAGCAAGTGCTTATCTGCTGCAGAGTATTGTGGCTGTTTGGTTCCCCTTGGCGTCTCAGCTTTCAACGGGGTACGAGAAATTAGGAAACTGGTGCCAAAGTCTGAGCCCTTGAGACTGTGCCTATCAGAATGGCAGATGCCCAGGGAGCAGCTCCTATGTGCTGAGATTAGGGTAGGTGTCTGGCTGCTGAGGAAGCGTGCATGGTGATTTTAGCCAACACCATGAGCAAAGTAGCTAATGCAGAGCCATCAGTATGCATATCAAACTGCCTGGGAAATTAAAGCTAGCTTTGCGTATGGCAGCTGTTTCTCAACCACTCATTGCCAAGAAATTTCCAGAGTGCCCCTTTTGTTTTGCACATGTGCAGCAAGGGAAGACAGCCAGGGTGGTTGTGGTGGAAATACTGCTCCAGTGCCTGTCTGATGCCAATGGATGCTCTGTGTCAGGGGAAATTATCGCCATGCCAAGTTGAAATGCTTTGTGCTCGAAAAAATGAGGTATTACCCAAACAGCCTACAAACACCACAGCAATATCTACATTGCCTGCAAGGAAGAAGGAAGGAGTGAGAAATGGACAGAAAAGCCCAAATTTGGCCAGGTGCAGGGCTGCTGATAAAGGTTCCGTTTGCTGTAATGCAAAGAGAGAATGCAAACTTCCTCCTGCGATTTTTCTCTGATGCTTGAGGCAAAAAGGGAAGAAGGAGGAGAATGCTGCTTTGCCAAAGCAGAGGATTACACAGGGCTCAGGACAGCTGAGTGGGAAAGCGTGGGTTTGGGGAGGGCTGTGGCTGCCACAGGATGCAGTGCAGGATAGAGGTGCTGCAGAAGGAGAGGATTCAGTACTCCAGCTGATGGAACAACATGTCGTGTGCTACGCATGATCAGCTACATGATTTAGGCTATAATTTTGTTTCTGGGGTCACAAAAAAAAAAAAAAAAATAGTAGCGCCATTTGCTCTTGAACCTTTTCTTCTGTTCTCTTGTTTTTCTGCTCGCCCTGTTAGGTCTAAGCATGAGGTGCTAAATTCCCTACAAGGGCTTGGCACCCCAGGAGCTGCTGAAGCTGCATGCTGCCCCAAATGCCCCTGCTTGCACCATGCCTAGTCCTGCCCACGCTTGCTGCAGCCTCCTACAAGAGTAAAAACATGCCAGAAATGCTCTTTGTTTCCTCTTGCCCTGTCTGCAGTGATCTCTGAGAGTTGAGCAAGCACAGCATTGTCTTCATCCGTGTTTTTTGGTTGCTTTTTTTTTTTTTTTTTTGTGGCCTACTGTTCTTCTTTCACTGTACAAACTCTCTTCTTTCATTCTGATGCTTTTCATGAGAAGCGCCCAGTTCTCCCCAAACCCTCTTATAGCAGCTTCTTTTGGGCAGCTCAGCAGCAAGCACTGGGTATCACGAGAGCACTTGGTTCTCATAAAACAACATGGGGAAAAAGGGAAATTCGGCCAAACTTTGCCTTTAGGTATGTATCCGTGTGGGCTTCTAGGCCATGGGGGAAAAATACACCTTGGAGTGATGCAGACTGCTTTTCCTTCCTCCAGCTCAGCAACTGTGGCCAACTCGGTTGTGTGCTCAATGCTGTTCCCACGCAGGTGTTACTGCATGTTGCAATGTGACGTTTCTGCCCGTGGGACCAAGCTCTTTTCTTTTGCACGTTGCATGAGAAAGCCTCTCTCTGGGTTAAGGCTTGATTTCTTCTGCTCCCTGCAGAAATCCTCCCAAAGGTCTCAGCAAGCTCTGCAGGACCATGAGCAACTTCGAGATCACTGATAGCAAGCAGGGCACAGTCAGTGTATCGCCTGGTGTTTCTAAAAGCAAAAATAGACATCCAGCTTCTGCAGGGCTTCTCAGAGCAGATGTGGTTGAGTATTTCAAGCAGCGGTCCATGAGCAGCTTTTTTTCTCACAGCTTTGTTCGCATAAGGTTTGTGTCCAGCGTCTGGGGATTGATGTGAAGAAGCTGAAAATACGTGAGCGATATTAATATTTAATTATAATTAGTTTAATTATAATTAATACGTAATTTCACAGCGGTCTGAAACACCACGCTTTTTAGAAGAGAAGTGGCACTTTTCCACTCGTGCTGCAGTGTGAATCTCACATTTCTCACTGTGTGAAACCTTGTGTTATTTCTCCTTGCTAGCATTGCTCCTGGCCCTGTGAACTCCTCCTTGAGAGCCTCAGGGGTACAATACAAACCTAAAAAGGCAGGAATGGGAATTTCCACTCCTCAGAAGCCCTGTGGATCTGGGAAGCATCAGCTGCTGCTTTGTCACCTTGAAATCATCTGTTCACAGTTTCCATGGGCTGTCCTCTAAATAGCACATCTGCTGTTAATGCTGTGGGAGAAGGGCTTTGGGGACCTTGTACTTTGCAGACCCAGCACTGGATGCGGACCCTAGACAGAAACCTACCCATTACACCCATAGGGTGCATTCCTCCCAATGCATTTACTCCAGGCACAGAATCACAGAATGGCTGGGTTGGAAGGGATCTTAAAGCCCACCCAGTTCCAACCCCTGCCATGGGCTGGCTGCCCCACCAGCTCAGGCTGCCCAGGACCCATCCATGGCCTTGGGCACCTCCAGGGATGGGGCACTCACAGCTCTGGGTAGTGGTGCCAATGCCTCATCACCCTCTGAGCAATTAATTTCCTTTCAATATCCAATCTATATCTGCCCTCTTCTAGTTTAAAACTGTTTCCCTTTGTCCTATCACTGTCTGTTTGTGTAAAAAAATCACTCTCTCTCCTGTTTAAAAGCTCGCTTTCAAGTACTGGATGACTGCAATGAGGTCTCCTCAGAGCCTTCTCTTCTCCAAGCTGATTGAGCCCAGATTTCTCAACCTTTCTTCAAAAGAGAAGTGCTCCAGTCCTCTGATCATCTTAGAGGCCCTTTTATGGACCCACTCCAACAGCTCCATATTTTACTCAGTGCCCCGTGCCTGGATGCAGAACTCCAGATGGGGCTGTACTAGGGCAGAGCAAAGGGGGCAACCCCCTTCCTGCCCTCTGTCACCCCTCTGTTGATGAAGTCCAGGACATTATTGGCCTTCCAGGCTGTAAACTCGTGTCCTGCTTTTTGTCCACCAGGACCCCCAAGTCCTTCTCTGCAGGGCTGCTCACAGTGAGTTCTTCTCCAAGTCTGAAGGTACATCTGGGATTGCCCCAACCCAACACCCTGCACTTGGCCTTGTTGAATCTCATGAGGTTCATGTGGGTCCACTTCTCCAGCCTGTCCTGGAGACGTCTCTTCCTTCTGCTTGGTGTCATTGCTAAACTGTCAAAAGTGCACTTCATCCCTTCATCTGTGTCACTGATAAAGATGATGAAGAGCACCAGACTTAGACAGACCCCTGGGAGACACCACTCTTCACCACCCCCACCTGGACATAGATCTATTGACCACAATTTTTTGGCTGTGGCCATCCAACCAATTCTCCACTGACTAGTCCAGCCTTCAAACCCATATTTCTCCTATTTAGAAACGTGAATGCAGGAAACTAAGAATGTGGCAAAACCTTGGTAAGTGCAAGAAGCTCAAGCCATTCAGGTTAACTTATTTCCAACAGCAGGTGCTCAATGATTTGCCTGTTCACCATCATTTTCAGCATGGCAAGCTGGGTGCCATGCTGCTGGGAAGATGCTGTTTATGGTACAACACAGCTGGTGCAGCAATTTGTGCTCGATTTTTATTCTCTTAGATGACAACAACACAACACCTGTTTCTTTTTTTCCCCTTCTTACGGGGAACCTCTTCTCTCATACAGCCTTATGCCTTATTACTGCTGTAAACTGGAAGGATTCAGCAGGCTGTGAGGGTGACGACTTTCAAGGTTGTTTGGTGAATGCTTGGTGCTACCCTGGTTTTCCAGAGCTCTTTTTGTTCTAGTTTATCATGGCTTTGAACCCTGTCCTCACTGCATTCCCTTTCCTCTTTCACTGCTCTCCTAAGGGCAGCCATGGTGGTTCTCTGTGTTCTTTCCATGCTGATGTCTGCCCAAAGGCTGCATACGACCCTGCCCAGCCCAGCTCCATCACAACCCCTTCTGTGTCTATTTTATTTCCTTTAAAATGGGGTAGGAGGCCAAGCTAGGATGTTCCTGAGTTTTGCAACTGTCATGAAAAGCCATTTCAGTGCAAGTGCGCTTCCTTCTTTTGCAGATCTGATTAGCAAAGAGGTGACCTAAATTGAGAACTGCTCGGGTGTTTTCAGAAATAAGCTCATTACGGGGGGAGGTTTGTGCTTAGTAGAGAAACAGAGAGTGTTTGGAGATGTCAGAAGGTCTTCTGTTCCCCCTCTCTGATGTATGGAGCAAGACTGGCCTGGGATTCATGGGGATTTCCTGCTGCCCCACTCCACCCCAGCTCTGCTTTCTCTCTTGCTTTCTGCCACTGATTTTAAGTCCCTGACTGCTTAAGGAAGTCCACAGTGATGAAATCCTACGTTTACCACAAAGATCAGCCCTGTTCCTCCTCAGTTCTTGCTCTGGGTACAAATTCCTGAAAAATCCACCTCTCTGCTGTCAGCGTTTTCACAAACAGCTATCTGCTTGCTGTCATATAGGCTCGGAACACTTCCTGCATCTCTCCATCCTGCCATTATTCCTCTTTAAGCTTCGTAATAAATATTTGCGGCTTTTGCTTCCTTTCTCACAGCTTCGTATCTGCTCTTGCCATTGCTTCCTTTCTGCAGCCTGCTTCCCTGTTCCTTCATGTGATCTTTCCCACAGCTTTTACAGAAGGTAGCACCTTTTGCTCAGCCACAAATGTACGTATATATCTGTTTTAATGACCATCACAGTAAAATACGTGTGATTTGCCAGAAAGCACTGATCCCTCAGATGCCTGCGGGAAGCCTAGAGAAGCACTGGGGCTGGGACTTCTGGGTTTGGTGGTGATGGGTGGCAGACTGAAGACCTCTCACGGCCCTATGTGATATGTTAAAAGCCACAGGGCAGGATCTGGAAAGGACATGGAGCTTAGGGAAGTGGTCTGTCAGTGGTGTTTTGAACTGATGTAAGCAGATGTCAGTTGCTTTTCACAAGACCACGGAGAAAGCTATCACAGCAGTGCTGGTTGGATGCATCCACACACTGTGAGTAGTGGGGGAAGCCTGTAGCTCACTGATGATGTGTATTTTATTTTGTGAAATTGGAGCTAATAGTTAGGCTTATAGGAGGAGATGTCCCCTGGGGCCATGTGGCCATGAAACTTGTTTTTAATCGAATCTGCAGGCGAAACCTGGGTGATTCATGTACGTCCCTTTTCTCCTGAAAACCATCTAGGTTCTGGCATTTTTATAAGAATCTGAATCTGCTGAGGTGTATCTCAGGTCCTCCTATGGACAATGAGGTCAGACATCACAAACTGGAAGGAGGGAAAGTGCTACAGCAGTTTTTGGGAGGTCACGGTGCATTGCAGGGCCAACGATGCCAAGGAAGGACCAATAGAATGTAGCAGGACTGAGCTGTGCTTTGTTCCAAATTTAAGGCCAGGTGGAATGGGGCCTTGGGCAGCTTGATCTGGTCGGTGGCAGAACTCCCCATGGCAGGGGGTTGGAACTGGATGGGCTTTAAGCTCTCTTCCATCCCAGCCATTCCATGCTTCTGTCAAGCTGCGATCACCATTCTCATCAAAGAATCATAGAATGGCTTGGGTTGGCAGGGACCTTAAGGATCATCCAGTTCCAACTTTGCCACAGGCAGGGCTGCCAGCTGCTAAATCAGTCACTGTATCAGAATGCACAGGGCCCCATCCAACCTGGCCTTGATCACCTCCAGGGATGGGGCATCCACAACATCTCTGGGCAGCCTGTGCCAACCCCTCAGCGCTCCGTCAGTAAAGAACTTCCCCCTGATATCCAACCTAAATCTCCCCTCCTTTAGTTTAAAACCATTCTTCCTTGTCCTATCACTATCTACCTGTGTAAAATTTGATTTCCCTCATGTTTATAAGCTCCCTCATCCTGTACCCTTGCCCACCCAAAAAGAAAAAGAGTATTTAATGTAATTTATAGGCAAAACATAAAGAGGCACTGGCATGCTTGCTCCCAGCAGAGCCATTCGTCGTATCAGTGCTGGTGGAGGTACAAGTGATCATGGACTGCACTAACAGGCATGTGAATCCCATTCTTGTGTTTTCAGAGCACAGATCTGACAAGCACGGTTGGCTATGACAGCATCATTCAACATTTGAACGATGGCAGGAAGAACTGCAAAGAGTTTGAAGACTTTCTGAAAGAAAGGTACGGAGCAGTCTCTGACAGTGGGTTTGGTTGGACCTGGAAAACGAGGCAGTGACACTACTTCTGTTTCTTGTATTCTCATTTTGGTTTCCATCATGTTTAACTGTCCACTGTCTTAAAGCATCTTTGATTTTTGACTCACTTGCTTTTTTAACATTCTTCTTTCCCTGCACAGCTGGTCCTGTGAAATCAAGTCTATACCTGGGTTTTCTCAATTGGGAGGCAGTGATGGCATTGCTCACAAAGCCCAAGAGCATACTGTTAAGGCCATTATCCAAATGCCTCTTGAACACTGACAGGTATAGGGCATCTCTCTAGGAAGTCTGTTCCTATGTTTGCCCACCTTCAGAGAATTGTGGAATAAAATAAACAGCTTCCTAAAATGTCTGTCTCTCTAACACAAATGCACACGTCTATGTCGTTGATTTCTGTAGATGTAGATTCATTAGACATTTTGAATTGCAGGTTCTCCTGCTCTGCCTCCCCACCACGTTTGTCCCAGGCTGTTTTGTCCCAAGTCTTGTATTCACATTTGCTTTCCCCAAGCTGTCAACATCAAAATTACATTAATGCAGGATTTTTCTAAAACAGTCTTGATATCTCATTTGGTTGGCCTTGAGGTGATCAGGCAGTTGAATTCAATCTTTGTAGGTCTCTCAGCTCACTTCTATTCTACTTCACTCCACTCCATTCTGGTCCATCCCATTCTGTCCTACCCCAACCCATCCTCCAGGAGACCTTCTAATGCAAATCACCAGCAGTACTTGTTTCTCTCCAAGGTAATCTTGCCCTGATGGAGATATCTATATTTTACCGAGCAAGTCTAGCCTTGAATGCCTGTACAGAACTCAAAGCAAATTCTTAAATGGCAGCACATGGGTTTTCTTGGTTTTCCCTCTCTTTTCCAAGAGGTGAGGGCAATGTCACTTTCCAGAGATGTTTATATATTACCACCACAAGGTCTGGCCTCCTCAGATGTTGTCTTTAAGGAATAGAGGCAGGCAGGAGAGCATACCTATTGGCTTTAAAAAGTGCTGCACAAGTTTTGAACAGCTGAAACATCCCAGCTGAACTTCAGGCAAGTGTAGGGAATCTGAGTGTCTATGAGATGCCTGCTTCATTCTGTCACATTTGGCTGAAGTCAGGCAATAAAGACTTCAAATGGATGGACTGACAGACACCGATGAGCAAAATGCTGATAAGGTGATTGTGCAAATCTTGTTCCCATTGAAAAGCAGAGATAAAAAATACTTTGATGGCTTACCTGGCTGCATTCATCTGGCAGCTGCATGGGCTGCTTAGTTCTCCATCCCTTGGGGAGATGGTGGTTGTACCTATCAGCAATAGGGAGACAGGGAGGGCAGCTGGCAGGACTTTGCATGCAGACAAACCAAACTGCAAGCTCCAGGATGTTTTGTGATGGTCTTGGAGGTAGATGTCCATGCTGTCACTCTGATGTAACAGCCTGGGATATTCTGTACACTCGCTCTTCCATTATTTGTGCTCAGGGATGTTCTTACGAAACTCCTGCTCTTGTAAGCAAGTTTTGGTTTCTGAAATGAGATTTTCTTCTCATTTCTCTTTTTCCTCAACAGGGCAGTTATAGAAGAAAAATATGGCAAAGAGCTCATCAACTTGTCGAAGAAGAAGCCCTGCGGGCAGACGGAGCTGAAGTAAGTTCAGAGTACAGTGCCTTTTGCTTTTACAGGTGTCTGTAATTGGAACAATGAATGAGGAAGAGGGAGAAGGAAGGAGGCAGAGAGGAAGAAAATAGTGTTGGGATGTCACCGGGACATTGCCAGATATTCAGAAGTCAGTCTTGTGAATGAGTACTGACTTGGCCTTTGCCTTTTCCAGCAACCAAGTTGGGATTTACCAACTTCCCACTAGCTGTAGGCCAATCAAAGTGTCATGGGCACGCAGGAGAGAAGTAGGCTGGTGACTGTCCGAGGATCATGAGGCCTTGGGTTTGCTCCTCACCCTCTCTATGGCCAGAAGGAAGTCCACCTACTTCTTCAAGTCAAACCACATGAACATTCAAACCTAGTGCTTTGTCACCCTGCATGGATATTGTGGCTACTGTGGTTGGCTCAATGAGTGTCCCTTGTCATCTTCTGCTTGATATTTTGGTTTGATCTTCCTTGACCACTTGTTTAGAGTTTTATATTGGGCTGACAGTTTTTTCTTTTTTTTTTTTTCTTCTGAAATCTGCATGACTTTGTCTTAAGAGGTAGAAAAGTTCCCCACATTTCCAAGCACTCACCTCATGCAATGTGTAGAAAATATTCATATGTTCTGAGTGATACGTTTTGGAGTTTGCTAATAACGTTTGTTTTGAAACTCAATATTTAGTAGCATCCAGTGTTCAGGACAAAGGTGTAAGGTCAAATCGAGTGAACTGCGTTATACTCACAGATAGATGAAAATCTGGAAGTGTGAGGAGAGTAAATAAACCTGTTTTGAGCTCTCTGCTCCTGAGTGTGGGACTTGCTCTCCAGTTCAGAAGTGCTCTGCTGTCACCGTTGAATCCTGTACTTGCATCAGGTAGTGATCTCTTCTAATGCTCTGCCTGTGTTTTTTTTCAGTACCCTGAAGAGATCCCTGGATGCTTTCAAGCAACGTAAGTAATTCTTCTTTTTTTTCATGTGTTGGGACACTTGGCAGTGCTGAAGCCTTTGGGCTATTGCTTAGGAAGAAGCAGAGAAACCTCCAAAACTGTATGATATAGGATCAGGTGTAGGCTGTCCTTTTGGTCCAGCTCAGCCCAGAGTGTGGAGTTTGGAACAGAGTGTTCCAAGGCATGGGTGTCAGAGTGGAATCATGGCGATTCCCTTTTGGAATAACTTGGGCTTTTGGAGTGAGCAGCATCTTACAAGTTGCGTGGCACCAGAAGCCATCCATGAAGAATTCAGCTGAGTTTTTTTTTGGGCTGGCTCACCTTGCCCTATTCGCACAAATGTTCAGTAATCAAAGCATCAGAAAGGTTATGCTTTGCCCATCTTAGTGTCCACTCCTCACCATGCATTGCAGCCTGCTGGGGAGGATACAGCCAGCACCTGTACTCTGAAGGCTGGAACTCTGCTATCCTGTGACAAAATCTGGCAGCTACAAATCCACCACCATCTGTCCTGGTCATATTTGTCAGCTGCCATGTTCCTGAGCTGATGTCCTTAACAAATCAGTCCTCCAGCAGCTGAGACATTAATAGTTGTGAGTCTGGAACAGCTTTAGGTGTTGAAACATGAGCTATAGCCTGTCTTACCTGCAAGTGATCTGCTTTGCTTGCTGGGTGGATGTTTCATGGTATAGCTGCTCTCCTGCTGGATACGCTCAGTGTGGCACTGAGCATGAGACAGAGATTTACTAAGCAATAGCTCTTCTGTGCTCTAAGGTGCTTCTCTGCTAGCCTTCCTTCAGACTGATGCTGTAGGGTGTGATGTGCTGAAACATGCCTGAATTAATCCGGATGAGGAGGGAAAGCAACTGTGCTCATTTTAATCACTTTTCTTAGTATGAGTTTTCCTAAATGAAATGCAAGCCACAGCATGACTATGAAACACTCCCTGCATAGGCAGACCCTGCTTGGAAGCTGCTTTGAAAGTGATGCTGCAGCTGCAAGGAAATGGATGAGGTGGGACCGTGGGTCATTGAGTCAGTTTGATCTCACCAAGAAATCTGGCCTGAAAAGCACAGTATTTTTAGGGATATGTACATGCATGCACAAACACAAATGTGTCTTTTTTTTTTTTTTTTTCCTTCACAGAGATAGATAATGTGGGACAAGGTCACATCCAGCTGGCACAAACTCTACGGGAGGAAGCAAAGAAAATGGAGGAATTCAGGGAAAAGCAAAAGCTTCATCGAAAAAAGGTAAAGCACTGCACTGGCACCTTCACTGCAGGCCACTGTCTCACCTATTGTGCCACAGATCCCTTTGTGTCTTTGTGCCCATGAGGGTGAAAAAGTTCTGAGCTCCTTCCTACATGTTGTAACTATGGTGTAACTGTGCAGCAACCTCTGACTTCCTTCTTCTCACAATGTCCTTCAGGGTTCTTTGAGGGACAGAGATAGAAAGCATTCCTCCATTAATGCCAGCCTCAATTAGGAATTTTTTAAGATGTATAGATAGCGTTGTACGATCTACACAATGTCTGGTAAAATCTGCAAGCTCTTTAACTTCTTATGGCTTGAGATTCCCTTGACTGGAAAATGAGGAAAAGCTGTCGGAACCAGAGGCTGAGCAGGACTTAGCAGAGATGAGTGAGCTTGACAGTTCTATCTGACTCTGTGGAGGTGATACAGTACCACACACTGTTAGTATTCATTTGTACAGCTTCTCCGCATACACAATGGAAGCTTAGATAGGAGTATAGAAGGATGAATGCCCTGGATGGGTTTTGTGAACTTTGACGAGTTGTTATTCTTGCCCATGGCAGCTGGATTGGAGCTAGATGATCTTTAAGACCCCTTCCAACCCAAGCCCTTCTATGATTCTAGGATACTGGAGTACCTAATTCCAGGCAGAGGAAGGTCCTTACAGCCATCATTCTGTAATCCCATCATATGGTCCACGACTCTTCCTTTCCTAAGCCATGCTGACTCTGGCTCTGTTGTCTTCACAGATAGAGCTCATAATGGAGGCGATTCACAAGAACAGGAATTTGCAGTACAAGAAAGCCATGGAGGTAATGCAAGCATGCTGCTGTCTCTTGCCATATGGGTTAATGCTGCTAAAATACACATGCATGCAGCCATATTTGCATCTCATTTGCTTGCTGACACGTTCCTGCTCCATTTGGTGTCTCTCCTAGGCCAAGCGGCTCTACGAGCAGCGCTGCAGGGATAAGGATGAAGCAGAGCAGGCTGTGCACCGCAATGCGAACCTGGTCACACAGAAGCAGCAGGAGAAGGTAAGGAGAGTAAGGCTGTGCAACATAGGACAGGAGTGTCTCTTCTCGCAGGTATCCCACCCCAAGTCCTTCTCTCAGTTCTGGGGTTAGGGTGGAATGAGTGGGCTGCTGACCTTCCCTGCTGGGGCTACTCTGCTGTGAGTGATCCACCAGGGCTCTTCTATACCTTTTCTTCTCTCTCCCACCTTTGGCAGCTCTTCCTGAAGCTGGCTCAGACAAAATCAGCTCTGGAAGATTCAGGTGAGCATGGAGACACATCATACTGGTTTCGAGGGGGGCTGGGAGGAGGGAGGAGGAAGCTAAGCCATAGATCCTCAGAAACATGAGCAGAGATCCAGGAGGCAACACCTGTTTTGGAGAAGCCCACGTGGCCCCACCACACTCCCTATATTCTCTCCAGACATGACCTCAGTTTTGGGCTTTGCATCCCACTATTACTGGGTTCTCTCCAGGCCCCTCTAGCCACTTTTGGCTGGAGAAGGTACTATCCAGCAAAAAATATATATCTTTAATTAATATTAACCAGTTGACAATTTGGTTTCCTTCATAGACAGGAGTTACCAACAGAGCATTACTTCACTTGAGAAGATCCGGGAGGAATGGCAGAAAGAGCACATCAAGGCTTGCGAGGTAAATGCCACAGAATTGTTTCACAGTGCACTGTGGTCCCATGGATGTCCATCCCCTTGCTGCAGGATTTAGGGATAAAGTGCCTCTGTATTCCCTTCATGTACATCAGGATGTATTGCAGGTAACCCTGCAAGTTTCTCCTGCTTGGCTTCTGGATTCAAGATCCCACCACTTCAAGGTTTCCACTACATTATTTTCTTTTTCTCCCACCACCTTTTAAAACAACAGAGTAGAGGCACTTTGTGGTGACTTTTTTGCTTGTTGCCTGCTTGCATGTTTGGTGCTGCCATCATCTGGCTCAAACTGTTGAAATCTGAACACCTCTTGACTCGAGGCTACAACCACATGAACACCTAGCAACATTTGTCTTGGATGCTGACACCCTAAATGCATGGAGCATCCATGCCTCTGTTTCCATACATCCTTGGCTTTTTTAAATTTCTCTGCATATGTGGGAGGGAGGTGAGAGGACAGCTGGGACTACAGGACCAGAGGGTGCAGGGTGGTCCCTTCCCCTCCAGCACAGCAGAGCACTGAGACCTTCCTGAGCTTAGCACCCAGCTTGGAAACACCTGGTTGCACAGATAAATGGTTTATTCTCTGGGCAAGCTGGAATACTTGTGGATTCATAGAATCATTTGAGTTGGAAGGGACGTTTAAAAGGCTATCTAGTCCAACGTGTCTGCAATGAACATCCAAAGCTAGATGTGCGCCGGCCCTTCTGGAGATCAACCCCACCTGTTCCTTGCTGACCCAGTCATCTTTTTCATGTTATTTGGGGTAGAAGAGGATCTTAGATGTTACTGGATGGTGGACTGTGGGGTCGTAGTAGGTGCCCTTGCTCAACCCCTTTTCTTTACTGCTAGTCAGAGAAAGCTTTCTAGAACAAAATGTGATTGAGAGGTGAACTTGAATCACCTGAGGACATGTGAACAATAAGTCTCAGAGGACACCATCCTCAAATTGCATTTATGGCTGTACTGACATGGGATCCACCAACTTGTCCTTGTCATTGCAGTTCTTTGAGACTCAGGAGTGTGAGCGCATCAGCTACTTCCGCAATGCCCTCTGGCTTCATGTCAACCAGCTCTCCCAGAGCTGTGTCCAGAATGATGAGGTGAGTCATTCTTTCTCTTTTGGAACAGAAAACTCTCCTTTTGAATCTCAGCTGCCCACCTGGGTTCTCTTTTCTCATCTTTTTTGTACAGCTGTAGTAACAGGAATGATCTCCTGAGTGCAAGCTTTTCTCATATTTGCAGTTGGAAAAAAAGGGAGTAAGCAGAACACAAATGAAAATGTGTCCTCAGCTCTCTGCCATCAACACCATACAAAAGCACTCACTTCTCCCTGGTTAAAGAAAATTGTGGTTGAAAACAGTGAAACAAATGAAAGGCAGAGGGAGGTGACCTTGCCAAACATTACACAGGATCATGTCACACCCCATGTGAGACAACTGACTGAAAAAAGACCTTTTGGTTTCTGACCTGACGTATAGGAATGCTTTTCATTTTCTTTCCGCAGAAATATGAGGAAATCCGCAAAAGCTTAGAAATGTGCAGCATTGAGAAGGATATTGAGTTTTTTGTAAATTTACGCAAAACTGGAAGTTCGGCACCAGGTAAGAGCCCAGTTCAACCTCCCAAAGTAGCTCTGACTTGCTTCTATTCCTCATCTCTCTGACTTGCTTCTATTCCTCATCTCTCTGTTGTCCTCATCAGCGTCAGTTTGGATGCAAAAACCACTGATTTTGTAACATCCTCCTCTCATTCTCTGGCATGTAGCACCAGCCCCTAGAGTTAATCTCCTCTTTTTGGAACACTGAAGTTCCAATCAAACATCTTCCCACAGAGAAGGGGGGGAAGGACAGCTGAATGTTTTTATTGGCAGGTAACAAATTAAAGGTCTGTACTTTGCTGTTGTTACCTTTTCATAGCTCCCATTGTTTACGAAAACTACTACAATACTCAGAGGAATGTGACTACTGTGAGAAGTCCAGCTTCTGTACCTATATCAAGGTAAGGCATATTGGCTGGGAATCTTATTCTTCCTGAAAGTGCTTCTGGTGAGTATGTGCTCAGTTTTTCTTGTGCCAAACCTATTCAAAAATCCTGTGTATTGAGGATATTGGCAGCTGAAAAGCAAGATAGCTTTGAGGTCAGGGTGGAAGAAGGTTCTGCCATGGGGAAGATGAGGATTCATGGCTAAAGTCTCTTGCCAAGGATGAGCATTCCCTCTGGCTGTCACGTTGGGAGAGAAGTCATGCACAGTGATACCTTCCTAATGTCTCATCCTGGGTGGAGGCATGTGAAAAGGCATGCCCTGGGGCTTACCTGTGGATGGTTTGTCAACAAAGTGCTTGTTTTCCTCTCCTGCACTAGACTGTTGTTGGTGAGCTAGCCATGACATCCTTTAGTACCAGTTATTCAGAAAGCCCAGCGCTGCCAAAGCTCTGCCCTCCCGTAAGCTCTGGGAGGATGATTTGGGACCTACAGAACCAGAGCAGTTGGGATATTGAGGGGATCCCATAGTCACTCAGATCCTTAGCTCTGTGTTTTTTTTTTTTTTTTTTTGTGCAGGAGGGGGCCTCTACCCACCCCGACCAGTGGGCCAGGTGAGTTCCTTGGGCTTCTGACCCCACAGAGTATCTCTCTGATCTTGCTCTTCCCCACAGGATCACAAACTTGATCTTTCTAAAGGGCTTGCTTGCAGTCTAGCTCCTGCTATGAGTCTAGTCTCCACAGAAAGATGGTGGGAAGTTGGCCACTGAATTTGGATACAAGGTTCAATCCAGAAGATCTGTTCAAAGCCCTCTGTATGGGAATTTCTGAAGACTTAGAATGCCCAAACTTGGAGTCTCAGCAGGCTCTGCAGTTTAGGCTCTTCTCTATTTAAATAGCATGAGTTGTATCACTTCCAGGTCACTTCAGGAATTGGATTCTGCAGTGAGACTCAGAATAAACAGGTTCTGCTTTGGCATTTTGGCAAATCAACTGATCTCTCTGAGCACCATTCATTCCTGGCTCCCATCCCTTTAACACAGTTTGCCAGTGCATATTGATTTTGCCCTGCATAAAATCCCCTAATACGTTTTTGTGCTGTTTTAGGTGAACCTGATTATGCCACAATTGATGGCTACAGCTTGATACACCATTAATAGCCACTGTAAGTACTGAAGGAAGGGATTAATAATAGACACGGCTACAAAATAAGAATGGTGGAAAAAGAAAAGCCACCATCCAGAGGGGTGATAATTGGGGATGATTAATGGGAAGGGATAATCATATCAACCCTCTTGTCCTTGTCTGAGCTGAATCTGTGATTGAGACTGTTGATCCTGTTCTGTAGGTTCTTCAGGCAGAAGATACTGTTGGCCTGGCCAGCCTGGCATAATTGGTGTTTTCAGCTTTTCCCAGCAACACACAGCTGCAGCGCTTCTCCACTCAAGAAAACATTTGAAGACTCTGATAATTATTTGTACATGTAGAAAGTACCTACTAAAAATCTTTTCCTTTGATTAGAAGACTTCTTGGACAGATATCCAGTTTTTACACTCAGGAGAAGAAAAGGCAAAAAATAAAAGGTGATGGACTGGGACATTATCTCCACCTGAAGAAGATCTTAATTTCAAGTTCTTCCAATATGCCACCAGCTGGGAGAGCCTGAAGCCTTTTTCTCTCCAGAAAAGTAACTTGCTGAGTGGGAGCTGTGCAAGGCTTTGGGCATGCTGGCTTGTGTTCAGAGCTAAGGTTGCATTTTGACCTGTCTCTAAAATCTTTCATTAGTAGCGATTAAACTTGTAATTTGGATTTAGTTTCAGTTATGTTTCTCAAGCAGCTTTTGCAGAGGTGCACTATGACTTACACTGTGGGTAGGCTATGCTGTTTTTCAGGCTGATGGTATAACTTGTTCTGGTAGGCTGTGTTTAAATCTGTAACACCAGGAGCTGCTGGCTGTATGATCTTCAGGTTGAATCCACATGACTTCTCTATGTGCCTAAGCCCATTGGTTCCCAGAGATTTACGTTATTTCCTCATGTGGAAAGTATCATAATGAGCTTTAAATTCTGTCCCGCTACACTGCAATGAAATGTACAAGAAAAGGAATAGTTTGTCCTGTTTTTTTTTGTTTTCCATAAAAGATCAAGTATACAAATATGCCTGTTGTAGTTTTAGTTCTTTAAATACATATATATTTAAAATAACAACTCTGAGTTGTGTGCTGGATTTTTTTTTTTTTTTTTTTCCTACAATGTCCTGTCCACTTTCTGTCAGGGCTGAGGCTGACACACCTCCAAAGCATCCTACTGAGATCAGGTGAGCTGCTGAAAGGCAGCTTTCCCTGGCTTCCTGTTTTTCAGCTGAATTTTTCCTTTTGAGGGTTGGATAGGATCTGTAATTCATCAGACACGTTTGCACAGATTCTGGACATGACTGCACCACTTGTAAGCAGCAAAGCTTCCTTCATGGCTCCTACAGGTTGCTGCTGCAACAGTGTTAGCATGGCAACTAGCTACTCCATAAGACATTGTACAAATTCTTTTTGAGGATTTTTCAGCTGACAAAGCACAATAGAGGCTGTTAAGCTGAATATTGTTGTCCAAGAAATTTGGATAGAGCTCTCAGAACTCAGGGTTTGGGTTTGAGTGGTGCTGTGTGAGGGCTCAGTGACGCATTCCTTCCGTCTTGGGACATTCAATGACAATTAATACTGGGGATCCTTGTAAGGTGGCCACACCCGCAAATAAAAGCTCCCAGTCGAGCAGCCCGCGCGCCCGCCCTCTATCCTTTTTGTCCCTCTGCGCCTACCGTACCCTTCCTCGCAGCTGATTGGCCAAGCGCGCCGCCGTGGGGCGGGGCCAAGCATCTCCTCTTCCGGTTGTACCCGCAGCCGCCGGGATAGCGGCGGGGTCATGGCTGAGGCCGTGCGCGCCCCTCGGAGGGGCCGCCCCAAGGGCAAGGCGAAGGTAGGGTCGGTGACGGGGCTGGGGTGGCTTTCGTGGAGGGTTTCTAAGCGTTGGAGTTTCTCTGAAAACGTGGGGAGGTTGGGAGTGAAGAGCGTGATGTAACGCGGAAGGGCGTAAACAAGGTGTTTGCCTCACGCCTTGCCGGGTAGCGGGGCCTGGCGATGTGCCTATAGGCCAACAGAGCTCCTCGGTGGTTAGCAGTGCTTTGGTGCGGGTTGGGCTTTGAAAAGCCCAGAGCTGCAGGCAGAAGGCAGCGTGTTCAGTGTCTCTTCAGTGTTTGGTGCTGCTGCTGTGGCTGTGCTTTCGTTCTGACCTGTGCTCCCTGCCCTCGCTTGCTGCAGCCTTGGTTTCTCTTGGAGCTGCCCTCAGGGTTGAATCGAAGTGAAAATGTTTCCTCGAATCAGCTGTTATGTTTTCTGTGTCACAGAGTGTAAATCGAAGCCATGCTTGTCAGAGCTTTCTGAGACAAATCACAGGTACAGCTGTGATTCCCGAACTCCAGGCAGCTAAGAGTTCAAGGAAATGTTTTTCCTTGAATGACATTTCCCCATGCCAGAACGGTCAGCGTGTCATAGTTTGTTTTGATTCAGCTCCACAATTTGTGCCAGGCAGTCAAGTTTAAAGATTGCTGTCTGGAGGAATCATTCTCCCAGGAAGGGAATGAATCACAGGTGATGGACAGCTCATTAAAAACGTGTGTGGTGATGGCAGTGGCCACTGCCCTTTGCCATTCCTTCCAGGTGTAATTAACTGCTAAACAATTCCTGGGTGATGTGTAGTGAAGTGTTGTATGTGAGAATCCAGAGTGCTTCAGCATTGCATGTGACCCATTGCTGATGTCTGTGTTGCTGTTGTCACAGTCAGCATCCTTTTGAGGACTCATCTGGAATGCTGTGTCCAGGTCTGGGGCACAAGAAGGATGCAGTGATGTTGGAGTGGGTGCATAAGAGATCCACAAGGTGCTCAGAGGGCTGGAGCATCTCTGCTATGAAGGCAGGCTGAGGAATCTGGGGGTGTTCAGTCTGAAGAAGGGAAGGCTCCATAGGGACTTCCAGTACTTACAAGAAGCTTATAAACAGGAGGAGACTCACTTTTTGCAAGTCTGGTAGTGACAGAACAAAAAAAATGATTTTAAACTAAAAGAGGAGAGATTTAGGTTGGGTGTTAGTAGGAAATTCTGTTCTCATACGTTGGTGAGGCCCTGGCACTGCTACCCAGAGAAGTGTGGCTGCCCAATCCATGGAGGTGCTCCAGGTGCTCCAGGACAGACTGGGGTGGGAACTGGGTTTAAGGTTCCTTTCACTCCAAGCCATTCTGTGATTCTCACAGAATCATAGAACATATGAGGTTGTTTGAAGATACAGCCTGAGGCCAAATCACATTAAGGATGATTTCATTCCTGTGCCTTAGCAATGGTCGTAATCTTTTGAAAACTAGGTAACCTTTGAATTTCCTTCCAATTGAAGCCATTCTGTGATACAAGAAGCCAGAATGTGTGCAAGTTGGGGAAAAAGGCTGGTTCAGCTGAGGAACTGTTAGGTAGAGGAACGGAGCTTGTGGAGGCCCCAAAGTTGAGCCTGCCCAGCACTGGTAACAACAATCTGATAAAAAGTCAGTGAGATGCTAAAACCAGAGGACTTGTGACTGACCATGCGTCTGTGAGCATCCCAAGGAATAGCACTGAATTATTGCAGAAGTGATTCCTGGAAAATAGTAGGTCGTCTTATGGCGTGAGGTGTCATTCACTGAAAATAGTGCACTAAAATGCTAGGCAAGGAGGACAGCTAGGCACAGGGCATGTCTGTTGAGCAGGTGCCATTTTTTACTTAAAGGATAAACCCTTAGAAGCAGACTGATACCTCAGAATGCATGATCTGCTTTTTTTTTGTTTGTGCAGGACCTGATTTATCTCATCCTTTCTCAGATGAAAAACTTGTTAACGTGATGACATTTTCTGCCTTGAAATACAAGAACTGAAAGGACTTCATAAATTTTACAAGATTTTTTTTTTTTTTGTCTAACAATAGCATTAGAGCGTCAGAAGTATTTTGTGATCAGGAGTGTTTGCAGGTTTTAGCATAATGGAAAGTGCAGTCTGAAAGCAAAGCTACTCTATTTACCATTTTGTGAAGAAGCTGTGAGCATATGGTTAAAATCAAAGTAGGCTTGAGATTGCACTTCGGAAGGGCCTTGCCTTCTCGTAAGGCAGAGTCTTGTCAGCTGCTTAGAGAAAGTTTGTGTGAAGCTGTCACTAAGTTTGCAAAGCTGTCATCTCTTCTTCAGTCTTGGAGGGGTATTTTCCCTGTTTTAGCTGTGCTCTCTGTTATGTTGTCTGGGTTGCCTACAAGCAAAGTGGGCTTATCCAACTCTTCACACTTTTAAGTAGATAAGTCCACACAAACTACTTGTCAGTGTACCTTTAGCAAAATCTTTACTGAGTTCCCTTGCCATATTATTTCCTATGCTGTGCTTTGAGAAGGAAACTACTGATACACCCTTCAGACTGGATTCATGGGAATCTAAATCAGATAACTCGTCACAGTTTTAATGTCACTTCTGAGTTGTGCTGTGTCTCTGGTCTGTGATGCCTGTTTTCAATAGGTATTATTTCAGAGGTTGTATTTGATGTAATTAGAAGATGTGTTCTAGATTTTCTCTGTCCAGAAATTGCTTTTTGAAAATAATTTTCTGACCACCAAGTAATTCTATAAAACTTGAGGTGAATTTCTTTTTGTTATGTGGATTATTTGTAAATTGGTGGAACACCTTGTTCTGGGATGTCTGTGGCTTTTCATGTAGAAATATTGAAATGTCTTTCAAGAGCTGACCGAAAAGACAGACACTGATGCACGATATTTGAAGGGCAATTAAAGACCAATGATCTGTGTGATGCATTTCCTTTTACCTTATTATTTTGAAAATTAACCTGTTAAGATGTTTTTTAGAGTTGTGGTGTTGACTAATGGTGGTTTTGGTGATGGTGTGGTTTGGGATGTGAGGAGGGGGGATTTGCTTGTTAATAATGCTATTAATTTATTTCTAGGAGAAGAAGAAAAGGAGTAACGAGGACTCCCAGATACAAGAGCCTGATGATGTTTTCCTCCCTCCTGTGGCAGAAGTATCTTCTCAGGCCACTACAGTGCAAGTGGAGCAACCAGGAGAGTTTACAGAAATTAAGCTCAGTGATGAAGCAGAGCATGAAAAAGCTGTGACTGATTCGTGTGACATCTCCCTCAGTAATTTAACTTTAGCAAGCCAAGGATCTCTGACAGCAGCTGCGGAGCCTTCTGCGGATGGAGAAGAGACTAAAGCTGGTCCTTCACATGAGCAGTGTGAAGGGGATGTTGAGAAAAGTGAAAAAAGCAAGCTGGACAAACCTCCCAGCTTTGAGGAGGTGGTTGCTGGTGGATTAGGAAACTCTGATGTGTTGAGCAGTTCCTTTCATTCCAGTGCAGCTGTTTCTCAGGCAGTAGTGGGCATTGCAAGGGGCAAAGAAACTGAAAATGTACAAGATACTAAAAGTCCTCTTGTCAGTTTCTCAGAGAAGCCTCCTTTGAGTCCCTCTCAGCCTTGTGAGAAATCCAGAACACGTGTTCATCGTTTGGGGTTGAAATCAGTTTATCCAGACTTGTCAACTGAGTTGTCCTATGAGAGACCAACCATAATGGCAGTCAAACCATTGTTGCACAATGAAAAGCTTTATCCGGAGCTGCCAACTGAACCTGAACTCATGCCTTTTACCAGAGAACAGCTGAAAATTTTTGAACCCTGTTCATGGCTTGAGAATGTTGACTCCTACACAGAGGAATTTGAAAGTGTTGCTCATCAGGACAGGCACGAATTTTATGAACTGCTCCTGAACTACATGCGCTGTCGGAAGCAGCTTTTGCTGGCGGAGGCGGAGCTGCAGGCTATGACGACAGACTGCCAAAATATTAAGGGGAGGTTATGGACTTTTAAAGAAGAACAGAAGACTGTGCAGGTGCTGTTATAAAGCTACTTTTGAGGCGTAACTATTTGGATGTGATTCTGAACGCTTCTTTTGGTCACTGTTCTGAAATTGATGTTTGACTTTGCTTTTTTCTTCCACCAAACCCAGCTTTGAATTTCAGAGTATCACCCTGTTGCAATTTAAGACAGTTTGTTGTTAGATATAGAATTAAGTATGAGGTGTAGGATCTGTTTTATTGATCTCTTTTGGATCCAGGCTTGTGTTTGAGCTGTGTCCATCAAG